CGTATCTACTACAAGCTGATCAGTGCCCATCCACTCCAGCAGTTGGAGCACCTAACCATGTGTCACACCTACTACAAGAGATTCGATGCTGGTTGTCAGCTGCACAAGGAGGCGGCTGAGACGCTGCAGGGCGAGATCGGAGTTGTGCGCGAAATGCTCCAATTGCTGCCGCTCAAAATAAACACGATTAAGGCCAGGTTAGGCTAGACTAAAAATTAATTGCATTTGCTGAAAGCTTTATACGTAGTCCAAATAAAACGCTTATGTTTCAAGAGTATTTCTCTTTTTTAACTTATTAAACTATTTAGTAACAATATAAAAAAATTTTATTTGAATGGAAATTCGGATTTTTCTAGCTAAATATCTCCGAAATACTTTTCAAAAGTCGGCAACCCTGGCCGCCAGCCATTCACATACGAACAGCTGTTTTTTCCAAACAGAAAGAGGAAGAGCGCTGTGCAAAGTTGTTGGCCTGGCCAAAATCAGGGAAAATATAGTTTAATAGCCAAGTTTAGACTGCCACTATAGTTTTAATAGTGAATAATAACGGTATACTGCTAGTTGGTTCCTTGAAAAATGGCGCACGCCACACCACAGGTAAGTGATTGCACCAAAATCGAAGAGGAAACTGGTAGCGCGCCGCATTTCTGTGACGCAATAGCTGCGTTAGCTTTTGTAAACCCCATGGAATAACAAATCGTTTAAAACAAATCGTTCCGGCAGGGCGTAAAGCTATTAAATGGATGGAAGCGTCCGGGTCGCTTTGACAAGGGTCTGGGAGCCCAGCTGCCTGAGGCGTACAGGAAGTTCTGGCGCGAGTGGAAGCTGACGACCCCGGCTGCGGTTCATTACATCCCCAAGGAGCAGGAATGGGAACGAGATGAGGTGACGCACGCCATCAAGCCGGTGCAGAACATCCCGCTGCCATTGATCGACACGCCGGAATCGCACCGAGGCATTTGGGGTGGTGAGGCCGTGATCAAGGGTTTCCAGAAACGCCAGCAGACAAAGCGTCGCGTTCCGCACTTTTGGGTGCCAAATCTTAGACGTTCGGTGGTCCATAGCTACGTGCTAGACTCGTACATGTCCGTGGTGGTGACGGAACGCACGCTGGAGCAGATCCACGAGTGCCATGGCTTTGATCACTACCTCCTCAAGAATCGTGCCTGCGATCTTCGCTCCGCTTTGGCCCTGAAACTTAAGCGAGAGGTGCTCCAGGCCCTGCAGAACGGTGTTCCAGCCCTGGCCGATGAGCCCGAACGTCAACAGGAAGTGCTCAAGGAATATCGCCGCTATTTGGAATCCTATACGTCCGAGGAAATTGATTGGTATGGCCATACCTATTTGGAGGCCATACGCAAGCTGCAAAAGCAACTGCGCGAGGCGGAAAAGGTGGTGCCGCATAAGTTGGAGTTCCGCGGAAAGCTAATCGAGCAGCTGCGCCAGGCGGGAATCAGCGAAGCGGGAAAGCTGGAAAAGCCGGATGCAGTAGCGGGATCTTCAGCCGAGCACAAGGATTCGGACATTGAAGCGCTAACAAAGCTGTAAGTCACAAATACCTCTGTAATGAACTACCTAACCAATTATTAATTTCAGGGAATCCTCGGCCTCTTCCAGTTGGCTGTCTAAGATGAATCCTTTCGGAAAGAAAGAAACCTAGGCCAGCTGTCCTCGTTTGTTTTTGATTTATGTGTTCAGTCTCGAACAAATAAACATAATTTCGGAAACATTTCGTTACTGTTTAAAGGTATTAAAACGTTGATACTAAAACGTCTTTATTCCAAATATTTGTTACATCTGGTAAAGTGTATAAAAACAAGTAGAATCACACACAGAACGTGAACGTACGCCGCAAAGTAGAAAAAAGGAATGATTGCAAATCCCCATGAGAATACAGAAATACATTGACAAATCAACTACAGTGATCACTTTTTACGCTTAGACTATGGTTAGTGTGTAGCTCTGCAAGCGGGCAGAGAGCTTTGTGCCGTATAAGATCCCAGTCCGGGCTGGAAGCCTGGTGGGCCCTAAGCAATTGGGTTTTTCCTCATTAATTCGATGTCGGCTTTCATCATGTCGCTAACCAATTCCACAAAGCTAACTTTGGGCGTCCAATTGAGCTCCCGGTTGGCCTTAGAGGCGTCGCCTTGCAACAGGTCCACCTCCGTCGGCCGAAAATACTTTGGATTTATGCGGACGCGCACAATACCTGTGCCGCTCTCCACTCCAACCTCGTCCACACCCTTGCCCTTCCACGTTATCTCCCGATCGATATGCTTGAACGCGGCTTCTACGAACTCGCGCACACTGTGCGTTTCGCCCGTTGCTATGACGTAGTCGGAAGGAGATTCCCGCTGCAACATCATCCACATGGCCTCCACGTAGTCGCTGGCATGTCCCCAGTCGCGCTTGGAGTCCAGATTGCCCAGCTCGAAGTACTCCATTTGCTTGTGATAAATCTTGGCCACGCTACGGGTGATTTTTCTGGTCACAAAGTTCTCGCCACGTCGCGGACTCTCGTGATTGAAGAGAATTCCATTACAGGCGTACATGTTATAGGCCTCCCGGTAGTTGATGACGATCCAAAAACCGTACATCTTAGCGCAGGCTTAAGTGAGGTGGAATTTAGTGTTACATATAGCGTTCATTATCGTAGCTGGCTTACCATATGGCGACCTGGGATAGAAGGGCGTCTGTTCGTTCTGGGGCGTCTCCACCACTTTACCATATAGCTCCGAAGTAGAGGCTTGGTAGAACCTCACGTTCTTTTCCATGCCACAAGTGCGGATGGCGTCCAGAATACGCAACGTGCCCACGGCGTCCACCTCGGCCGTGTACTCACTGAGATCGAAGGAAACCTTGACATGCGATTGTGCCGCCAAATTGTATATCTCCGTAGGCTTCACCATATTGATTATCTTCACCAGGCTGCTACTGTCTGTCATGTCGCCATAGTGGAGCTTCATCCGCCCACCTTTGTGCGCCTTCGGATCCGCATAAAGATGCTCGATGCGGGTGGTGTTGAAGGTGCTGGCCCGCCGGATAATGCCGTGCACCTCGTAGTCCTTTTTGAGCAGGAACTCTGCCAAGTAGGAGCCATCCTGGGCGTAAGCGAATAAGTTACAATCAAGCACTTTGAACACGTAAGCACGGGATTGAGGAGATGCCCCTGAAACAGCAGTGACTAATCCATCAATTACACACCTGGCCTGTTATGCCTGTTATCAGCGCCACTTTATCACGGGAGTCGCCCTCGGCGCCGGCTGCCGTTCCATTTTGGTCCTTGCTGCCGTTGCTGCTGCTTTCAGGACGTGGCTTCTTGGTTTCCGGGGCCCCATCTGAGGTCGACATTGCAATTAGCCGGGTATTCAGCACGTACTGATACTAGTTTTTATTTTCACGCCGACGCAGCCCGGATAATAAACAAATTTTTATATGCAGCACAGAGGTGGAGGTGAATCGATTGGCTATCGATACATTTGAATCGAATACAGTGGGGCAATCTGTTTAAGACAACGTAAATTATATTCAATTAGCAACAATTAAATATTTTTAAAGAGTATATAAAATTACATTCTAAATAAGAAATAGATAACATATTATTTTACTTTTTTGATTTTTTCAAAAAAAATAAATATACATTTTCAAATAATTTTGTAAAACATAATTAGTTTTACAAATTTTCCTATTACTATTACTATTTTCCTTTTTATTCTACTGCTGCACTTTTATAACGATTCTGTGCCACTTTGCGGCAGTGTTGAGTAGCGCCAAAACCCACGTTGCGATTTTTACCGCATACCTTTCAGCGAAAGTTGGACGAAAATAACAACGTTGGCACAACCACCTATCTTATCATTCCTCCTCCTCTCCCAAGCCAATTGGCCACCGGGCATCAATATTTTCTTCAGCGGAACCCGCATTACGTGTGCGTGAACGGCGGCTTTCAATTTCATTCTTGGAGCGACCGGCCAGCGTGATAACACCGGTGCACAGTGAAACCAGCGCCACTTACTAATTAAGTACGACCACGACCTCCGTGATAAACAGAAGTCAATTGTTCGCAGCACAAAAATGACGGATCTTATCAGGCAGGGTGCTCTGTTCCTTATGAGCGAGAAGTGCTATGATAACTACTTCCTGGAGCACAACTTTCTAGACGGTGAGTGGCCGCTAATTCGAATGGGTCTGAAAATATAAACTATCAATGAACTTCTCCGCAGTTCCCTGCTTTAAGGCTTTATTGAGCAAGGGCCTGGGATTGGGCATTATCGCCGGATCCGTGCTGGTCAAAGTACCGCAGGTGCTGAAGATCCTCAACAGCAAGTCTGGCGAGGGCATCAACATTGTTGGCGTGATGTTGGACCTGCTGGCAATCTCCTTCCACCTGTCGTATAACTTTATGCATGGCTATCCGTTCAGTGCCTGGGGCGACAGTACCTTCCTGGCCTTCCAGACCGTTACGATCGCTGTCCTAGTTTTGTTCTTCAATGGTCGCAAAGCGCAGTCGGGACTCTTCCTAGTGGGATATGTCGTGCTAATGTATGTCCTCAATTCGGGACTAACGCCCATGTCGGTATTGTTCACCATTCAGAGCTGCAACATCCCCATCCTGCTGGTGGGCAAGCTGTCTCAGGCTTACACCAACTACCAGGCTGGATCCACTGGTCAATTGTCGGCCGCCACCGTGATCATGCTGTTTGCTGGATCGGTGGCCCGTATCTTCACCTCCATCCAAGAGACGGGCGACTTTATGATTATCCTCACCTTTATTGTCTCTACCTTTGCCAATTCGGTTATTGTGGGTCAGTTGATATACTACTGGAACAAACCTGCTGGCGCCAAGGTGAAGGATTCAAAGACCAAGAAGACGAAGACAAAGAAGGATGATTAGGCTGTGCGGAAAGGAAATTACAAAAGTAGGAACAGATATAGAGAGATTTGAACTCGAAACATAAGTTGCAACAACTTCTCGATAATGTAGAACAAATATGCAAAGCTTAAATAAATTGAGTCCTAGTTTATTAACTTGTCCTGCTTCTCGAAGTGCTGCCGCAGCAGAGCCAAGGCGCGGTAGCGATGGGAAATTGTGTTCTTTTCGGATTTGGGCAGCTCGGCGTAGGTCTTATCGTAGCCACTGGGCTGAAACACCGGGTCCCTGCGGCAATGATAGAGAATAAGTAAGAGCCATTTTATCAAACATGTTACGCAAGTGACTCACCATCCAAAGTCCCGGGGACCGCGAGGTTCGACGATAACGCCCTCGGTGATGCCCTTAAAGATTAAAGGTTCTGCATCCAATCCGTCACAGTAGCCAAAGGTGCAAATAGCCTGAGCACTTTTGTTCTCCCAACCATGAAGCAGACGGTGTAGTCCCTCCGGCTGCAGCTTCTCCAAAAACCACTTGATGTACGGACCCGGCAAGCCCTCCAGAGCATTGAAGCAAAGACTGGTGTCCTCCACCAGTACGGGTCCATTCACCTGACGCGCTGCCTCCTTGCACTTCTTGATGGCAATTTCGTCGATGTCCCCTGGGGTATTATCAAAACATGGACTTAGTGCTACTTTATTATGATAGAGGCTTTTATTCACCTTGCAATTCCGGAAGATCGATCTTCTGGGACACAATGGTGCGCGGGAAACTAGGACCCAGGATGGCAACCAACTCCTCCAGCTTCTTGGCGTTGCCGGTGACAAAGGTAATTGGTTTCGACATGTTAAACAAAACTCAATTCAACGCGATTTGCGAGAGTGAAGCATGCGACCAAATCAGCTGTTTGCTGTTTAGCTAGGGCGCGAAATCAAGAACAGGGTGGTTATCACTCAAAAATGTTTAAAAAACTTGAATTTGAAATAGTCACAGTAATTTAAATATGTAGGTAAATTAAATATAAAATGAAAAATTGAAAAAGTTTTTTCCCTCAACACGAAGAAGAAAACACTTGTGGTGTCTAGCATTTCTAGTTAATTTATTCAACATAACTTAGTTTAGGACAAAATTGTTATTCAAATGGAAATTTAAGTTTTTTTGGGACGAGAATGGTTTTCTTGGGATGACGAAATTTGCAAATAAATAAAACATGCACATGAAAACTTTTACTAATCGTCCACGTTTGTGAGATGCAAATTAGCCGACGGATGCAGCCCGAGTTCCTTCAGGGAGCTATCGTTGTGCTCCGCCTCCAAGAATTTTCGCGGGAAGGCGCAAATGAGCTTGTAGCCGTCCTGAGGGATGTGCTTGTGCGTTTGGCTGATGTACAGCCTCAAAGTCTGCAGTTTGGTGTCCGAGGGCCAGCGCAGCTGAACCATCTCATCTGTTCCGGCAGCGTTGAGCAGGCGCAGCTTAAGGGCAGTCAATTCAGTCGTGGCCTCGCCCAAGTGATTCTCGTAGGAGGCGGCGGCCACGCCCTTGAGCTCCTCGTCATCGAACTCCTCCAGGCTGTCGTTATCGCTGGCTTCATCAGGACTATCATCTTTGTGGTTGCCTCCGCCACCGTTTTCGTTTATGGAATTCTTGATAGCCAACTCCAGCTGCTCCTCCTCAGTTAACTCCAGAACCTTGGCGCGTTTTTTGGGAGTTCCCTTTGAACTGGTTGTCGAGGAGCGTGAGGCCTCCGGATCAGGCTCCTCGTCATCATCGATGTAAGTGGCCGAACGCTTTGAGGTGCTTGGGGCATCCTCCTGAATAAAGTCACGGTGCTCCTTCAAAAACTGCTTCAAATCGGGAAGGATATTCTCCAGCTTCGGCTCTGCGCTGCGCCACACTTCCTCGCCTGTACGCGGATCGATCACGCACAGGTAAGGCAGAGTGGCACAGTGGTAGAAGGCCACGAAGCGGCGTCCCTCCGAGGTGTCGTTGTCCACTTGCCAGAAGGTGAACTGGCGCCGTATCAGTTTCTTAAGGTCCTTGTCTGACCAGACATCGCGGTTCAGGGTCTGCGACTGAAAGTTGTCGTCCTGGACGTTGACCAGCAGCCAGCGCTGCCGTTTGGTGGCAAACTCCCGGGCAGCAGTCAGCGATCCGGAATAGAGTATGTCCGTGGGCGGGCGGAACAGGTCTCCGAGGCGGGAAGTGCTGGTGGCCGTGCCCGTTGTGGACCGTCTGTTAAGTGCCATGGCCTGGCCGGCAACCACCATCTGGGCGGACCGTCCGCGACGGATTCGATGCGTATTGGGATCGGCATAGACGCCAGTGGCCTGCAGCTGCTCCTCCATTAGAGCGCCCTCGCGGGCAAAGTCCCGCAAGGGATACACCTTGACGCGCTGCGTGACACGCGACAGCCGGCTACTGCTGCCCGACGCAAAAAAGTTGTCGTCCTCGGGCAGGATCAATTGCTCACGGACCGGGGCGATTGGCGCCCTTACCTCATCCTCGTCGTCCAAAAGGGGAAGCGATTGAGCTGCAGCACCAGCACTGGAGCCCGCCGCCGTGGATGTGGAGGCTGCCTGCTCGAAAAACAGAGCCACTGCAGCAGACACATCGTTGGCACAGGCAGACAAGTAATATTTGGCCTCGTCCATGGAGCAAGCGGTCACCTCGCGGACCTGCTCCACCAGCGCATCCGGCGCCTCGCTGCTGGACATGGCTCTGCTCTGGAGGATGATTGATTTTCTTGCTTGTTAAATGGCGAGGTTTGAAAAATGCGAGCAAACGAGAGAACACAGTACGATTTTCCAGGGACAGATAAATGCGTCCGCACAGCTGTGGGAAAAATTTGTTAGCAGCCTGTGTTGGGAAACGTCGTGCCCAATGTTTATACAGACAGATTTAACGCAGATATTTATAATTATACACCTGATTAAACCTAAAATTCAATTCAATGAAGCACCGAGATTCAAGCAACACTCAAAAAACAATAAATTTGGACGTCATCAACCAAAAATTGTATCGCGACTAATATTTTATTTGAGACATCACTTGCGTCACCTTCAAACTGCAAGTTGCACTACTCCAATTGGAGTGCCTGACCAACACTGCTGGCCAACTTGCGCCAGTCGTTGTGCAGCACTAGTCAAGTCAGCAGCAGCAAAAAGCAGGAGACTTTTGCGTCTCTTACGCGAAAATCAAGATAAGATTCGGAATCAAAGGGTTTCCAAAATATGACTAATCCGCCGCCGGAAGACATCCCACCCCCGCAATGACCGTGAATATGTGAGCTTCGCGAAACGAAAAAAATTGAAGCCAGTTTGACAGTTAGCAGCCAGTTTCCAATCAGATTCAAATCAAGTGCAACAGTGAGAAAAATTGAAAGTGAATTGAAGTTCCCAGTGCCATTTGCTTGCAGCCAGAAATACCAATGATTTGTTGCGCGGAATAAAAGTTGAACTATTCAACCCGGTCGTCCCGTTGTTTGTTTGTTTTCCGTTTTGTTTATTGTTGACCGCTGCTGACGTCGCAAGATGGTCTCGCTGATAAAGAACCAACTACTCAAGCATTTGTCCATGTAAGTTAATCTGCGCCAGCAAATCCAATTACGAAACTCAATTAAAAACTGCAGTTGGCTGGAAACAGCTTGCAAAGTGGAGAACTTGGAGACGGAATTGATTTTTCCCACTTTTTCGCATTCCAATTGGATTTCCTGTGCCTGTGTGTGTGTGTGAGTCTGTATTTTTCGCAGCTTCCCACCCACCCCACAGTACCGTTATTCCACCTGTACACTGGTCGGCTTTCATGCGGTCTTTATCGTTTACCGTTCGTCTGGCCCCATGCTAATTCACCCCTCCCCCCATCCACCCACTCCACCCCCTTTAAAGTAACAAGTGGATTGCCAATTTCTACCCACGCACCTTTACTTACTTCTCTTTGTTTTTTTTTCTGGCGTCTCTGCGATATTGGATTCCCATTTCCTCGCTACTCTTTCTCCACCATTTGCATGCAAAATTCAATTTTCCGTATTTTCCTCGCCGCAATATGGTTACTCGTTAACCCCGCCAAGTGAAAATGAAGATGTTATGGCCAAAAGGCGCCGCTTCGCATAAACAGCCAAATCAAATGTTTATTTGCTTACTTATAATTATGCTGAATGGTCGGAAAGGGGGTTCCACAAAATTGGTTGTCAAGGGTTTTACGCAGGCACTGAAAAAAAAAATGTATACAAAAGAAATACAGAATATATCACATGTTTATATTAAAAGTTGTATTAATGCAATAATTTTTTATGAACATTTTAAAAATAATTTTTTAAATATGTTAATGCTTTAGCATAACTATATTATATTGTATACATATTTATATACCTACTTATGCTGACCATAATGTTACGCGTGGTTTATTAGCCCACTTTATTGGCCCCCAAGTGTGGTGATAACATCGAAGGGCCCACATTTAGCATTTATTTTTATATTTCTACCCTCCACGAACGAACCTTAATATGTCAAGTCCCGCCCACCTGCCAAAACAAGGCCATATTTACCCGTACACACATTGCCATTGTCTTGGCCCCTTTGTTGATGTCTTTTGTGCCCCATTCGCCAGGTTGGCTCCATCCCACCGCCACCACCATGCTATGGTCTCTTCCACGCAATTAGGCTGCAAACAAGCCAAGTTTATAACACAACAGGGCCCAAAGTGTAAATGCAAAGCAAACTTGTTGCCCATGCTGGGCGGGTAAAAGTTTGAGAAAATCTTGTTATAACCCCCATCGTGGCTGTTATCACATTTTTCCATGCATTTCTCTCGGCACTTCTAATTACCAAGGATAAAGGCAACTTAAGGCTCGGCAAAAAGTTCCTAAGTAACAAGTTGTGGAGTTCCGCTCCCGTGGACTTTTCGCCACTTAGACCCAATCAATGTCTTCATTTCGATTTCAATTATGCCCCGGCCATTAGCTGGAAGTGGGTCAATTGGGTGGCAAGCATCTGGCGTCGACAGTTCACTCCCAGTTCACCCACCGTTCCGAACCCTCCTCAACTCGAGACCTCGCATTTCTTTCTATCCCCTCACGGAAAAGGCAATGTGACATGTGCGACGAGGCACATATTATTGCCCAGACAAGCAAGTGATTCATCTTCGTTCTCTGCTTTAATTATAGCTATACGAAGAATCTATCCTCGGACAAAATCAATCTGAGCACCTTCCGCGGCGAGGGCGAGCTCTCGAATCTGGAGTTGGATGAGCGGGTGCTCACCGAGCTGCTGGAGCTGCCTAGCTGGCTGCGCCTCACCTCTGCTTGGTGCAACCATGTCTCCTTCCGGATTAGTTGGACCAAGCTCAAGAGCGTCCCCATAACGCTGGTGAGTGGTTTCGGAAACTAGGAGACAACTCTTCGTTGTAAAGTTATTCTGTTCCTAATAAATACTTGCCACCACAGACTTTGGATGAAGTGCGCATCACCATCGAGACCTGCAATCCAACGACTCGCGATGCAGGCGGAGGATCTGGACCTGGTGGAGCAGGATCTCCCACCGCTGCCGCCGCTGCTGCACTGCCACAAGTGCCACAGGGTAAATACAGCTTTATCCACAAGGTGGTCGACGGCATCACCATTGTGGTCAACACGGTGAATGTGAATTTCGTAAGCGCCGCCTTCACAGCCTCCGTTCAGATGTCCCGCATTCGCGTGGAATCCAAGACACCCAAGTGGGCCAATGCCGATCTGCGGTTGACGCGACTCAAGGACGCGCAGAAGGGCATCATACTGATCTTCAAGGAGCTCTCCTGGCAGACGGTGCGAATCGAGGCCAGCTCGACCCAGGACAAGTCACTGACTCCCCTGCGCCTGCTCACCAATCACGCCAGGTGCCGCATCACCATCCGGAAACGGCTTTCCGATTGTTCGCTGCTCGCTTCCCGCCTGGTCC